TGTCGGCAAACTTGCTGAGGGTGCACTTGATCCCATTGTCCATGTTGCTGACAAAGATGTTACACAGAGAAGGTCCCAGTACCAACCCCTGAGGAATGTCACTCGTCACTGATCTTCACTTGGACATTGAGCCGTTGACCACAACTCTTTGAGTGTGACCATCCAGCCAATTCCTTATCCACTTGAGTGGTTCATCTATTGAATCCATGTCTCTCCAATTTAGGGACAAGGATGTCATGCAGGACATCATTGTCAAATGCCTTGCACAAGTCCGGGTAGACGATGTCAGTTGCCCTTCCCTTGTCCACCGACACTGTAGAAGGCCACCAAGTTTGTCAGGCACAATTTTCCCTTAGTGAAGCCGTGTTGGCTGTCACCAATCACCTCCTTATTTTCCATGTGCCTGAGCATAATTTCAAGGAGCATCTGCTCCATGATCTTGCCGGGCACATGGCGGGCTGGCCTGTAGTTCCCTGGGTCTTCCTTTTTTCCCTTCTTAAAAATGAGGGTTATGTCTCCCCTTTTCCAGTCAGTTGGAATTTTGCCAGACTGCCAGGACTTCTCAAATATGATGGCGAGTGGCCTGGCCACTTCATCCGCCAGTTCCTCAAGACCCGTGGATGCATCTCATCCCATGGACTTGTGCACCTTCAGGTTCCTTAGATATTCTCGAACCTGATCTTCTCCTACAGTGGGCGGTTCTGCATTCTCCCAGTCCCTGCCTTTGCCTTCTGTGACCTGGGTAGTGTGGCTAGAACACTTGCCACTGAAGCCTGAGGCAAAGAAGTCGTTGAGTACCTCAGCCTTCTCCATATCCTGGGTAACCAAATATGCAAAGACAAGGATAATTGAAAGTATGGACCAACTTTTATATGTGGAATGATTAAATAGCTTAGGACAGTCTTGGCTGGAAAAGAGGTGGCTGAGAACAGAATATGACATATCTATAAAACTGCATTGGCAAGGAGATGGTGAGTAGGCTTTGAATCCAGTATGATAATTAGAAGGCAGAAGCAGCCAGAAAAAACAAAAGGCGGCATTTCTTCTGACAGCGCATAGTTAAACTGCTGAACTTTTAACACAGGATGTTGTGGAAGGTACAACTTTATCAGAGTTGGGAAAGTGACTGGGAGAAATAATGGAAGGAAAAAAATCTACTGAAGGCTATTAAATATAGACATAACCCATGGGAGGTGACGAACACCAGTTCAGTGGAGTCTTATTTTATACTTTATACTTTTTCCCAGCACCCCTCTCAACCAGGTAGAGGAGGGTATGGCACTACATCGTGTGACCCACCACCTCTGTTCCTGTGCAGCGAGGAAGAGGACAGGAATCCCTACTCAAGCTGGTCACAAACAAAGATTACTGTTGTAATACAATTAAGACTAAAATCTTCTATTAGAAATAGTGCTGACTGTGCTAATACAGCACCCCAGCAAGGGCCAGGGGACTACTTGCACGGGTCACGCCAGGTAACTGTCCTGCATGCAGGGATGATTTTCTTCTGTGATCCCAAAGGCTAATGAAATCCATGGATACATACTAGGAGAGAGACAGTTTTTTTATTGTGCGACTAGTCTTGGAATATCACATGCACAATTTAAAACAGGACGTTAATTAAACCGGAAAATTTAACTGGACATACAGAGCACTGCGAAGCAGTTTTGGATGTCGTACGTTTCGCAGCCCTGTGTCTTCAGTGTTCTGGGGAACAGGATGAAGTGTCTCAACTCGCCCTGACATTGACCTGCAGGCCACCACTGACATAGAGGACAGCTGCACCAGTGACAATACGTAGGGGAAAAGCCAGTGTAAATGCAGCCTGAAAGGGGTAATTGCACTAACTGCACCTGTATGTCCTCTCAGCTTGTTTCAGTGGACAAATTCACTGCCTCCTCTGATAGAAACTAAACAGCCCCAGACTACTGCCACAGATATACCGCTCTGGATAGCCACCCCTCATCTTAGTAATTACTGGGTTTGGAATTACAGCGGGGACAATAATAATTTTGAAGAAGATTGTTAACTATCTTCAAGTACAAAATAACTTTTTGAAAACACTAACAGTCAAACTACTTGAAAAGAATGCTTTCCATTCAGAGTTTTCTTAGTTTAGCTGGCTTCCTTGGGGGTCAATACTTTGGTTGCATAAATGTGAAAGTTAGTTGTCCTGCTTTTAGGATCTGTATGAGTAAGAAGAAAATACTGTTTCTCTTGGTAATACAGAGCTAATATTGCTAAACACTGAGTCATCACTAGAACTGCCTACTAATTTCCAGTAAAGCACAATTAGGCAAACCAGCCACAGACATAGGAATTACTTGGCAGTGCTAGGTTAACAGTTGGACTTGATGATCTTAAAGGTCTTTTCCAACCAAAATGATTCTATGATTCTATACACTCTGACTACACTCAAATCACACCAACCACATCAGATAAAGAAGATAGCTGATTTGTTACCGTTCTGTCCTTCATTTCTTGATAGGAAGAACCTGTTCATCTTGAAGGCAGTGCAATGGATGTGAACATTAAGTGGCTTAAGCAAGAATATATGAAAACTCAGAGAAATTGGAAAGAAGTGGATAACAGAATGAATGTGACAATAGAAATACGGAGGAAGATGATCAGCGATAAGGCACCTTTAAAAGACATTCTTAGACTATTTCCTTTCTTAAGATGCCCTTATCAGGTAACAGAGCTATTTTTAATAATGACATCATTGAATTCTATGCTACAGATTTGACACAACTGTAGGCATGTGTTTTAGTGGATGTTTCCATTGAAGTATCCATTGACACTGTCCTCTTTAATCTAACTCATGTTTTAGGTGCTAACCTCACTTTAAAAGATTTACCAGTCCTGTGTTAAACATGCCACACACACCACCAGTGGGTTTTCGGAAGTGCTTTGGTGTTACTTGCCATATTGCTCCCCTGCTTTGCAAAGAAACGAAACCAACCCCTCTAGTTCATAACCTTATTTTACTGAGCTAGTCTTATCCTGTCTTCAAAGTGTGCACCTCGTGTTGTTTTCAGTTTTGGTTTTGAGGATTGCAGTAATACCAAATTTTTCTTTTTCTTTTAGCTTTTTAGGGAGTTCCAGCTTCTCACACACATGGACATTTATAAGAAAACAGTTGAGATTTTGGAGATTTATTCGGAAAACATACTATCTTTGTATGCGGTGAGGAATAATCCAATTAACATTATGCTGCAAGAAAATCTGAAGCGGCACACAGAGGAAGATATTCTGAAATGTCAGTACAAATCTTCTATGCTCTGAATATCAGAATTTTGTTGTAGCTAATCGTTCTTACTTATGTAACTAAACTAGCTCAAATTTACTGCAAAACCATTTAAAAAATGTCACAGTTGCTTGAAAAATATATAGTGATAGGGAAGCATTAAGAATAAAAGCTAATAAATTACTAGGAAAATTAAATCAGGTATTAAAACTATGTCTTTCCTAGTAAATAAAGAGTGCAGGTTTGATGATAAAGTTAGTAACTGCCTTAAAATAAGTATTGATAAACGAGCAGAATTACGTGTCTCTAGATATGTAAAAGAGTGCCTATTATTTTCTAAAAATACATGCAGAAAACTAATTTTCTGGTTTAGAAAGAAATAGTTCCGTATAAAAGAGACGATTTTCCTTTAGAAAGACACTGTTTCTATGGCTGAAGTCTTCATCCCAGTGAAATAAAAGCAGCAGTTACCGCTAACTGTGTTTCACATCAGCGCACAGCTGGTGCCACTCGGAGCGGGTATCCCAGCCGCGCAAAGAGGTCCGTGTACCTGGACGCGCTTGGCTCGCCGGCTGCGAGGGAGCGAGCGCCTGCTGCCGCTCAACTTCTTTCAGTCCCAGAAATCCTGGGAGTGCGGTTCTGCAGGGGAAAAAAAAAAACCTTTGAAGCAGTTACTCAGAATCGTTTTTCTTCCCAAACTGCAGCTGATGATGCCTATGCAGGAGCTTAGCTCTGACAGAAGGGATCCTTAGACTGTCCTTTTCTATCAGAGAGGTGTCATGCCAGGATGTCAAGTCAAAGGTGACACAGAATGAACACGTCTGTTTTCTATAGCAGTTTCACTCCTTGAATAACCAGGCTATTTCTTAAAGAAACAAGCAGAGTAGGTTAAAATACTTGGGTTTTCTTTCTTTAAGCTTGTAAGTGCAAGTACTCAATAGGTCATGACAGATTAAAAAGTGCCAACAAACAGCTTAATCCAGAAACCCTTTATGGACTTTCTACTCATACCTTTGGCCTTAGAAAGCTATGGATGTTGTAATTAATTTCCCCTTTTCTTATCCCATATGCCCACAAAGATTTTAACTCATACCTTAGTAAAGTCCCAAGGCCTTTACTTTCCTGTTTTTCCTCTCACAAACAACTTGACCTGGCACCTCGGTAATAAATGCCTGACAAGATAGGTTCAGCGAAACACATCACCAGAAGCCTGACCTGCAAAAAAGATGCCAGGGTCAGTAATAGCTGAACCAGAGGGGTGACGGGTACGACGTCCCAGAGGTCCTGCAGCACCAGCTTGTACCACAGCCTTCGAAGTGGAGTCCTCTGGCAACAGGGCTCCCCAGAGATGTCCGATTTACTGGGGACAGAGGAGTTTGGGGACAGGCTGCGGGGGTGGGAGGGCTACTCAGCTTGCAAACTCCACTAAAAGTAACCCAAAGGATTGCTTACTTATTGTGAGAAATTTAATTGTAATATTGAGTAGCAGAGTGTCATGAATGATTTGATTACTACTGCCCACTGCCAGGCACCTAAAGCTTCACTGTGGTACAAACTACCCTTTGAAATGGACTGAACAACAGTTCCACTGCTGAACTGTTTCATAAGCCACAATCTGCTTTTCCAGGATGATACTGCAGTGCCAGAACGTTTTCATTTGTAATTTAGCAGAATTCCTTGCCTTTGACAGATATGAAAATGACTGCTGCATGTTTACTCCTGCCAGATGTCTTTGGGGACGATTCCAGTCTGTTTGTTGCAGTGAACGAGGAGGTAGGAGACAGAGCACCGGCAGTCTTGGTCTCTCTTCCACGTCACCTGGCTTTTCAGTGGCTCAGCTTAGTTCCTGGAAAAGGATGACATTAGCCTGCCTTTTGGGGAGAAGACAAATATTGATAGAAATACTAGCTAAATTCAAAGCAGTGTTATTAGGCTTGCTTACTTGTTTGATCTGTTCACCAAAGCGATGTTGTGACATCATTTGAAATATTCTTCTTTTTTTAATTTAGGTGAAGGTGGTGACACCCGTGTTGGAAGTCAAAAATCCCTTCAATGTGAATTCATGCGAGTTTGCACTGTACATAGAAAGAGAAGAGCTAGTCCAGCTCGATGACTGCACCATGGCCCTGGCGGCGCTGGTGGCTGCATTCCACGTGTTCGACATCCCGTGCCCAAAGAGAATCCACAGGACTCTCAACTTCCTGGAGTCCCTGGTCTTTGAGGTGAGGAGCCCAGCATCCCTGTCCACCCAGGTCAAGAGAGGGCTGGAGGTGCCCGTGTATCCCAGTATCTGATGGTGTACACAGCACTCCTCTCGGGAGCATCCGACATTTTGTCAAAATAAAGCCCTTTGTTGTGAAGATCAATCAGTGCCATTCTTTCTGGTGAAAGTGTATGTATATTTGTAACTCTGTTATGTTTAATAATGCCCCATTTTTATTGTACTGGCTACTTTTTAAAAAATTTAAAACCCAAGTATTTTCATTATTGTAAATGGAAATTCTAGAGCAGTCTAGAGGCATTAGAGATAATAAAATTTTCTGGATTACTGCGTTGTTATTTTTCTGTATGGAGCATTTAAAAGATTCAGATAGTCTTTTGACTGTCAGAATTTAAACCCCACACTTGTGAATTAATGTGAGCACCTTGCTGCTTCAGATGCTAATACATTTAATGTTTTGAAGTGGCACAAATTAAAGATTTACTTGCTACCATCATTTCATTACCTCACAATCACTGAAAGCCAGCTCTAATAATTTTTGTGTTTTAAAATGGTGGGCCTGATTTATAATTTACTATTTTTTCGATGCATGAAACATTTTTTTTTTTTTTTCTCACATTAATCTTGAATTTGCTAAATAGGGATTCTGAGATGAGCTCTCAACGTAGCAAGAATGACTTCTCTGGGATACTGCCATGTGCGTTTGTAACCACAGCTTTGGCAAGAGGGAGAGAACTCTCTTTCTGAATTTGTTCCCCCGAACAAATTGACCACCTGGAGAATCTCTGCTCACACAGAGTGGAGGCCCTCTCCTCTCTTCTTCCACACCCTCCTCTCGTCTCCCTAACGCTCTCCTCTGAACTCCCACATGTCTGGAAATCCCAGGGACGGCTGTCTGACAGTGCACGACTTTGGACAAGCACTTAGTAATGGACAGTAGCAGCAGCCAGCAAACATGACTCATTACATTAATGAGAAATTAAAATGGCTTTTTATTAAAACACTGCATTCTACTAAAGAGATCAACCTCCCACCAGTTCTAAAAATGCCCACATAGGAAAAGCAGCATTTGTGGTGACGACGATTCCTTAAACTCTCAAACACACAGAAGTTTTGTTAAAACCTGGCTGTGCAGGGGTGACTCCAATGCAGATATTACGGTGGGAGCCCCTGCACTATGAGGGGAGATCGCTGCATTTAATGGCCAGACCTTCTTGCTAAAGTCTTAGGATTTTTCATGCGGCTTCCATGGAATCAGGGGACAACCTTTACCTGCGTGACAGCTGGGCTACCTCCAACACAACATACAAACCAATACCGACTATCATTTTAAAGATTTAGGAGGTCTCCCAAGTGTTTTTAGTTTCCGAGTGAATTTGTTGGGTATAGTTTTTGTAACAGAAGTGGCTACACCCTGCTATCTCATCACATGGGATACAAAAGTAAGGATTATGCATGTCCTCACTGCTGTGAGTGATAGCTCTATGAATAAGAAGTTAGGTTCTGTAACATTTAAGTGAGGTTTATTCTACATCTTGTAAACAGAATTAATTCAAACCCATTTATTAAACCACAGTACTTTGTAAGCAGGTAGATAAAAATTCAGGGACCTGCTAACATCCCCAAGTAATCTCTTGGCGAGCAGCAGATCTCTTCATTGGTTCTCACTGCAGACTACAGAGCTGGCACACAAGACAGACACAGAGGGTGAGGGGAAATAGACTACATGGAAGGACTGAAGGAAAGAAAGCAGAAGAATTTGGCGTTTTACTGATTTGCACGGGCAACTTCAGTTGCTGCCAGTGCCAAAATCCAAGTCCTCAATGGGATTCTGATTGTGACAGCAAGTGCCTGTGAGCCTTAGGCACAAGCGTTTTGGGAGAGGGCAGGCAGCAGTAGCCAAGTTGCTCTTTTATACTCATGGGCACATTGAGCTACGGTGAGGAATGACTCCACACCACCCTGGGGAACAGCTGGGTTCATCTGAGAATCCTGGGCACACACAAATGTAACAGACGGCTCCAGTTCAGGTTTTATTTGTATTGTAGTACAATAAGAGTGCAATTTGAATGTACAAATATTGAACAAAATGTAAAAATATTATTTATGCAATGCTATGGAAGGAAATTAACAGAGCAATGCAACTTACTTCATACTGACCCTGTTTCACCTCATATTATGGCAGGCACCAGTCACCTACATCATCTGGAAGGGGCACAGAGAGTTCTTGAAATCTGAAGGAACTCCAGCCAAAGAACAGCCTAGCAAAATCTGTGGGAAGATGTAAAATTCTCCCAGCTCCATGCAACGGAAATGCTCTGTTTGTTCTCAGCTCTAAAGACTGAGCAACTGCCCACTGCAGCGCTAAGAAGAGGGCTGCCAAAAATCTTGAGCCAACTCTCTCTCTTCTTGCAAACGTAACATTCTGGAAAAGTCCTCAGTATACAGGTAGCTAGGCTTTCTCCCATTTAAAGTGCATCTGGTTTACATCTTACGTACATATACCAAGTGCAACGACTTTCCCTGACAAATAGTTACAATAATCCTCCAAGAAAGAAGGTTGCCTCACCTAAGTACCTGCTGGTGGCATCCCTAGTGAAACGCATGCATTTTAAACCTAGGATGTGCCGATGCACCATATGCATTTAACTATACTTTTCCTCCGTGCTTCGTCTTTCCCCCTGTGCCTTACTCATTTATAAATCAGAGTTTCCAACTACGAAGTGGTGGGTGAAATAATTCTCCCACCATTGGGCAAACAAACCTATGTTGGATATAAAGCCAAAGCAGCAGTCCTGGCTTTAGCACACTGTTTTTCTCCACTGTTGTGGTAACTATACTGGAGACTGCATTTGCAAACACGAATGAATAGATTTTCTTTTTTGCTAATATCCTTACCTCAAAACCCACACATTTTCCTTCATGTGTTGAAGGACTGTAGCAGGCTCCCACATAAAAGGCTGGGACTCTATTGTGCAGCATGAACAAAAAGTATTCTATGAAGTCAAACTTTATTTTTCAGTTGCAGCCTTTTCTATACCGATCTTTTGGTAAAATACATTAAAGATGCTGGTGGAAAAACTCACGTAACATTTTTGTAATCGTGCAAAAGTAAAAACATTCAGTTATCAAAAAAGCATTGTGATTTCAACCTCAACAAGGTTTTTTTGTTTTGTTACAAGCAGACAGTTTTATAATCTGTAAAGTATATGCTGTAGCATAAAGTGTCACGTATGTAACATAAAGTGTTTCATTTCTGAACTATGGCACAAATACGTATTAGCCATAACAGTCTCATCCGGCTACCTGTAGCCTAATTTTTGGCTAATCAGTTTTTATTTTGATAGTATGAAGTAAAAGCTTCTGAAAAGTACAATGGATACATGAAGTAGAATTCAAGAATTCTTAGAAAATATTAAGGTTCCCTTATATAATACAGCATAAATAGGTTTTCTTGATGTCCAGAGAAAGTTAGGGATCCTAACCATCCATGGAGAATTAGCGCCATTAGTTTGGTAAATAAGACTTAGCTGACTCGGTTGTTACACAGTACATTCTCAAAAGCTTGAACACTTCCCAGAAGGATTCAGATGTGTACTGGCTCTAGGAGAATATAAATAGTCCGCCAGTGCTGAACATACGTTTCTTCCTTTCTGAGAGTCCTTACTCAACAGTTCCAGCGAGTCTTTGTGCTTTGAATAAAACATGAGCTCCAGTGGAGAAAGCTGGCTCGTACGCATTTTCCATTATCTTCAAAGTTCATTGTGTGAGTTTTTCTCTGCAGCTTTGAACATCAGAATGGAATTAAAGATTTTTAGGGCTGGTCCCAGTTTAATGCTCATTATTTTGACTATGTCTGATTGGGTCATTAGCAGAAATGCTTCTCCATCAATTTGCTTCAGAAGAAAAAACACATAAAGCTATTAATAGGTCTGACAGTACAGCAGTATAGATGTTTCAGAAAACATGAAAAGAAAATTCCCAGCAATTTCAGACAGTGTAAAGGAATGGCTGAATACAAACACTTTCAAATGCTTTCAGGATAGCTTTGATTTCAACCTTTTAGACAGATCAGCTCATCCAAAAGAACGGGATGATGATGATGATCTTTCTGCTTGCAAACAACTGTCTGGCTAATTTTTAGCTAACCAGTTCTTATTTTTATACTGACAGTATAAAGTAAAAGCTATTGAAAAGCAAAATGGGTAAATGAAGTGGAATTCAACTGTACTGCAGCACCATAATGTTTTTTAAGAACTTAGCTACTCCTTTCATGCAAGACTCCATAAGAAAGCTTCTGGAGTTCACTCCCAACTGAAGAACTGGAACCCCCTTCAGGCCACCCCTTTCTGTTCATTAAATAGCAAATTAAAACAAATTTGGTCCCAGACGTAAACGGGGGCGAGGCTACATAAAACTGCTGCTTTAACACAAACCACAACTTTTCAAAACACTAAATATTTTTTCTGCCAGCTTTGTAGTGTTGCTATTTTAATAAACGCTACAAGTGAATATTCTCCTGTAAGCAAATCGTTCTGTCAGCAGGAGTGCTAAATCTGAACACGAAGAGCCCCAAGGCAAGGCTCTCACTTCCAAGGGCTTCAATGGGGCAAACTCTTCTCATGTAGGCTTCAAAGAACTTTGGTATCTGTAGTAAGTCTTCAGTGTAACATAAGCAGGACAGCTAGGCCTAAAAGCTAACTACAGTTAAATCAATCAGGAGCATTGCCTAGGCTTAAAGATACTAATTTGTAATTAAGTTTCTGTAGTACTAGAACACAAGCTTTCTGAATCGGACACGCTGCAAAGGAAGACACACAAAGTCCACCCCAGCACTGTAAGTCGAGGGACACTGCAGTGAGAACAGCATCACGCAGTTACCACAATTACTTTCTACTCATGTCACGCACGAAGCTAGGCTGGGTGGGCTCACAACCAGAAGCGTGCAAACATGGGGGTACCCAGCTTTCTGCAGCATCTTAATATAAGCAGGATGATGGTTCATTTCCACAGCAGAAGTTTGAATCAGTACTTTCTACTCACTGAAAGACCTACCGATGCCAGCCAGTCCAT